ATATTTGTCATTTCTTATGGTGCAGTAGTATTTCATTATGTTCACAGGCCACAATTTGTTTAGCCATTCAGTCATTGGGCACCAACTGTTTTCTGTTTTTTTTTTTCCTTTGCTATCATAAAAGTTCTACTGTGAATATTGTGGTATGTGTGGAGCCCTTCCTTCTATCTTTTTACCTCCTTGGAATATGAAGGATTAGTAGCAGTATTGCAAAAGCAAAGAGTTAGCATAGTTTGTTGACTTTTTATTTTAATTCTAAATTGTTTTCCAAAATCATTAGACCAATTCACAGTTTAACTAGTGGTGTATTAGTGTCCCTGTCTTCTGTCTTCCATTCTTGTGTTTTGCTGACTTTGCCAATCTGATGGATGTACCTACTGCCTAATCAAAAGGTAAAGGCTTCCATTCCCCCATAACTTCAAGACAATGCAGTATCTTTGGGCCAACGGGAAGAATATAAGCTTTTTGAGGGCAGGGATTATTTTCTGTTTGCTTTTGTATTGTTAGTATCCAACACATAATTTATAATATTTGTGGAATTGAAAAAACACATCACTGTCTCATCCTATATCTTAATTCTTTCAAAAGACCCCTGAAAAGCAAAAGTACTTCTCTGCTAGAATAAACCTTAGATAATGGATTACATCTCTTCCCATTGGTAGCAGAGATATGGGCAACATATAGAAAAGTTATCCATTTAGCAGTCCCCACCTTTCTATTCTCTTTACTGTTTATTAGAAAGAAATACTGACCTCCAGTGATCTCCTTCTCCATACAGATGATCAGGTAGGCGCTGGATGACCACTGGGTAGAGATGTATTAAAAAACATTCCTGAGTCAGGGCTTATATGAGCTGATGTCTGAGGTCTTACTTCTGAGATCCTATTTATGTTAAATAAATTTTAAAGAAGGAATGCTAAAACCACAGAAAGTTAGGTGGCACAGTGGATAGAACCCCAGGCTTGGACTCAGGAAGATCTGAGTTAAAATATGACGTCAGACACTAGCTGTATGACCTTGGGCAAGTTACTTAACCCTGTTTGCCTCAGTTTCCTCATCTGCAAAATAAGTTGGAGAAGGAAATGGCAAACTGCTCCAGTATCTTTTCTAAGAAAACCCTAAATGGGGGTCACAAAGAGTCAGACACAACTGAAATTGATTGAACAATAACAGTGCTAAAACCTTGTAGACATAGGAAGGCCAGATGTTTAGGGGTTAAATGCTATAATGTTACATATTTAAACTGGAATATTAGAATTTTGGAGGTATATTTCTTATGTGTTGAAAAAAGTAGTTCTAACCTATTCTTTTGGATTGATTTTACATGATTTTTCTTTATGTGCCTTACCTTTGAGCCAAAGTAGACAATTAATTACCTGTTCCCTAGATTTAACATTCCATTTTCTGCTTCTGTGACCCCACACAGGCTCCCCCGTGGAAGCCTTGTTTTCCTTCAAGGCTCAGCTCAGGTACCACCTCCAATGGGAGAGCTTTGATGATCCCTTTAGTTATTAACGTTCTCTTTTTCCTCAAATTGGCTTGGATTTCCTTATCTGTGGACATGTTGTATCACCAGGAGAAAGTCAGTTCCTGGAGGACAGGTTCTACTTTACATTTTGTCTTTGTGTTCTTAGTGCAGGAGTTCTTACTTTGGAGTGTTCTCTAGGGTCTGTGGATAGGTTTTAGGGGATCTATGAATGTATCTATCTTGAAAAATAATGAATATTTATTTTTTACTTATTTTAAAATAAAATTTACTATTTCCTTCAATTAATGGAATAGACAAAAACATTACTCTGAGAAGGGTTTCTGTAGATGTCACGAGACTGCCAGAGGGGTCTGTGACACAAAACAGTTAAGAACCTCTCTAAGAATGGCTATTGTAGTGTTCTGCATATTGTAGGTAATTCACAAATGTTGTTAGATTGGAACCAAGTCTCATGCCTTTCCAGGCTACACTCTGGACGTCCTCTACCGTGGCCAGGAAATCTCTTCATCATCTCATTCACTCCTGCTCTGGAATTTGAACATTGAAAGCAGCTTCTCCCTGCTTCTCCCTCTGATTGGATGGATGTTCCCAGACCTCCATTTAAGGACAGCTCCCGGGGAACTATGTCTTATTTCTCTCCTGGCTGTGTCCCCTTGCTTTCCAGCCTCCTTTTATGTGGCATTTTTCTCCATTAGAATGTAAACTCTTTGAGGACAGGGACTATCTTTCCACCCCACCCCCTCATATTTGTATTCCCACATTTAACAAAGTGCCTGCCAAATAGTAAGCATTTAATAAATACTTGTTCAGGGACTGGCTTGTTGGCCATGTTTACTTTTCCAGGAAAGAGATGGTAGATGAGTCTTCACTTTCTTTGCTCTTTAAGTAATACTTGAGTTAATTGTTGTTTGTCCAATGAATTTGAACAAATGGAGTTAATGAATAAAAGCAGGATGATATATTGAAGAGCATTCATTGGACTTAGAATACCTATCTATATAGCTGTCATCTTGGATACTTAGAAGCTGTTTGACCATGAAAAAGTCACCTGACTTTTCATTCTCACATTCTTCATCTGTAAAAATGAGTAAATTCTACTTTTAAGCACTTGGTAAACCTTAAGGGACCATATCAAAGTGAGTTGATATCATTATTATAAGGTACCCAGAGGCAGGGTCTGTATAATTTTTAAATCTTTGTAACCTGATCCCTGGGAACAATGTCACGTATTAAGTAGGAGCTTAATAAATTTCTGTTGCCGTATAACCCTACTGTGATATTGAGGGTAGGGTAAGAGAAGCCCTGGATTTCAAGTCAAGAAACTTCGATGTGAATCTTTTACTAGCTGTATGGCCTTGAATAAGTCACAACCTTCCCAGTCCTCTATTTATTCATCTGTAGAATGGTTATTACTACTAATACTTACCTCAAAGAATTATGGCCGGAATCAAATGAGGCAATTCACATAGAGTGCTTTATAAATCACAGAGTGCTATATGAATGTCAGCTATTAATACTAGTATTAGTTGAATGAATGTACAGCCTATGGCTGTCCACTGAGCAGAACTCGTTCCAGTATTTATCTGGGCCATCTGGAGTCTGTCACATACCTGGAGCTTGTTTTAAATGGAAATATAAGCCACAGTCAGTTAGAACTTAAGCCTTTCCAAACCCAGTCTTCTGTGAATTGTAAGAGGCCAGTGGAGAAATACATTTGTAGCCAGACTTGGCAGCAGTATGAGAAATGAGAAGTAAGAAGGCCAGGCAGACTGTATTTGATTAAAAAAAAAAAAACAACAATTCTGCCTGGTTGCTGAAACTGTCAGATGGCAGCCTCTCCCACTTCTTCTGATGCTGGTCTCTACTTTTCCTTCATGTACACAGGTAAACAAGCATATGTCTTCCAGGATTTTGATTGAAAAAAAATCTGCTATGGTTTTGGTGACTCATTAACTTATGCTGCTTTTGATCTGTCCTCCAAATGAGAGACTGACTGAAGGAGAAGGGACCTTACCTTGGGATACAAGAGATATAAGTTCTTCTCTGGGTTTTGTTAGGAATTTGCCTTGTGACCTTGGGCAAATAATATCCCCTCTGGACTATAGTTTACTCCTTGGCAAAATTAGGGGATTGGACCCTATGATCTTTAAGATTCCTCCCAGCTATGACAATCTACAGCTATTTTACAAGGGATAAAAATGGCCCCAAACTAAGCCCGAGGCAACCTCAGAAGTATAGCTGGGAGATGATGGATGTTCATTCTATATTCATTCAATAGGTATTTATTTATATTTTATTTTGCTTCTCTTCTCTTTTTTTGGCATGCAGTGTTTATTCTAAAGTTAGTAACCCATCATCCAGAACAAACATTCCAATAAAAAAATTAAAAAAGTTATTGCACATAAGCCATAAACTTCAAATTATTTACAACTTGTTTAAAAATGTGTATATTAAATTAAAATAATAGAAATGTGTTGTTTACTTCCATTTTATTTTTATTTTCTTTTTTTCCATTCTTAAAAAATTGCTTGCATTCAGCAAGCATTTATTAAATGCCTACTGGGTCCAGAATGTTGTGCTGGGTACTGGGGGAAGATATATGATCCTTGCCTTCAGGGAACTCAAAGTCAAGTGTATATTGGCTTTAAAAGTTTTCTTCGGGCTGATATCTTTTTAGTCAATATCTGCCCTCCAATTTTCCAATTCTCTTCAGAGGTTGGATTTATGGTTGCAGGCCATCATTTCAGACTAGCCTATTAATGTCAGCTTTACCTTCTGAACAGAGATGATACTAGTGACTGTCCTGGATTAAATGTCTAGCTACTCATGGTACAAGGAATTTTAACAGTGTTAAAATTAACAAACTAGTGTGTGTAAGTTATTTTTGGAGGGCATCAGAGCCTCTAGAGTAGAACAATTCTCACCTCCCAACTGACAGTGACCCTAGGGCAAAGGTATGAGATGCCTGTTCCCATGTCAATCCATTATATCTTTAAATATTTGTTCAAGGGAGTATTTCATGTTTTCCATGTTCCTATATTTGCTGGCTACAGTGATTCCTATCTAGATGACCTAAAACCTAGAATGATTTTGGAGCCATAAAGCACTATGTGAGGGCTTGCCTGCCCTAACCCAGGAGTATATACTTGAGCTCAAATAATGGGGTTGCATGTTGTGGGTGATGCCAAATGCCAAATTTCATCCTGCACAGGATGCTTTATCGATTATCTAAATGACCCCACAGTCTTTCTAGGTGGTGGCTGATAGTCCCAGAATTGAGTTTTCTGCTCTGGAATTTGTTAAGCTTTCTATTTCATTTGGCCATGGCTTGTGATGCCATAACTAGATGACTGGTTCATTTTGTGAGTACATTTGTTTACAGCTGGTTTTCAGAGAATTTTCTTTCTCTTTTTCTCCCATGGGTCTCTTTTCCTTCCATGTTTTCCTCCCTCTTGTCTTCCTTCTTTTTGTCCCTCCCTCCTTTTCTCCTTTGCTTTTTGGTGGTCTCCAGGTTCCTTCATGATGGTGAACAGCTCTGGGCGGGCATCTGGACAAAAAGCTCACTTGCTTTTGCCGACCTTGAAGGAGAATGATACGCACTGTGTCGATTTCCATTACTACTTATCTAGCAGAGACCGGTCCAGCCCTGGATCACTGAATGTTTATGTGAAAGTTAATGGAGGACCCCAGGGTAACCCCATCTGGAACGTGTCAGGGATTGTGACAGAAGGCTGGGTGAAGGCGGAGTTGGCCATCAGCACCTTTTGGCCACATTTCTATCAGGTATTGATTATATTTATAATCCCTCTTTCTCTCATTTTTCTGTCCTCTTCTCCTCCTTTTTCCTGATCTCCTATACCCCATTTAGAAGTACACAATATTAGATATGAAGAGGACCTTAGAGATTATCTTGTGCATTATCTTATTTTTTACAGATGAGAAAACTGAGGCTCAGAAACAGAAGGAATTTGCCTAAAGTCATACAGGAAGTCAATGACAGAGCTAAGTCTAGAACCCAGATTTCCTGTCTCTCAGATCACAGTGACTTTGACTATACTCGCTACCTTTTACTAGCCTAGTTTGCTTCAGGAGGCTCTGCTTTTAGGGGTGTCAGGTATTCTGATGTCACACCGAAGTTAGACCACCACTACTGAGTTTGTTAGAGCACATAAACATTTCGAGAATGTAGCCCAGAGAGTGCTATGGGAGTGCTTGGTGTTAATGAACCCTCAGGGGCTATTCTGGCCTCAAGGAATTACACATGCAGTGTCTCCATTGCAGGCCAGTACTGCTTGCTAAGGAGAAGCCCTAATAGTTTTCATGGTGGGAAGTGAGTCTGAATTGCTTTCTGGAAGTTAAGTTACAAGTTTGCATCTGGATAAAACTGGGGACAATTTTATTTAATTGGATTCAATAATTATTAAGGACCTGCTATGTGCAAAACACTCAGGGTTGTTGTAAGGATCAAATGGGAAGATATTAAAAAAAACCAGTGCCTGACACATATGCTAAGGGAGGGAAAGTAACCGGCCCAAGTTTGCCTAGTTAGTAAGTACTAGAGTTAAGATATGAAAACATCACCACCACCTCCACCACCATCATCACCACCACCACTAGTTCTTGTGGCTCAAAATTCAGTATTCTTTCCGTTATACCTCCTCTACCAATGTGGACTGACACATGCTTTGTAACTTATAGTCTTAGACAATTGTTTGAGGCACGAAGAAGGCAGATGACTTTCTCCACATTAGCATGTATCAGATATGGGGCTTAACACCCGAGTCTTGCTAACTGAGTCAGTGCTCTGTCCACTGTGAAATGCTGCCTTTATCGCTAAACCAGAATTTGTCTCTCTGTAACTTTTATCCTTTAGGCATATGTCTTCCTTCTCCTCAGGTAAACAAAATAAGTCTTATCTCCTTTCAATATGATATTTGAACTTTAGATATTTGAAGTCAGCAATATGTTCCCAACAAAAATCTCCAGACTGAATGTCCTCAAGCCTCATAGTTACGATAAAAACAATACCATATTTTATTGCATAGCGTTTTCCAAATTATCTGGGATGTTATAGTGGACATTGATACTTTAGATAGGGTTAAACTAAACCAATTCACATTAACATGAGTTGGCAGCAATTTTTTTTTTTTACCACTTTTTAAACCCATTATTCCAACGAGCCTTTACTCCTTAAAGCTCATAGGAGCAATCAAATAAGCAAAGAGAGACACTCAGAACTTGAGGGTTTTTTCTCCTTTTCCTTGGGCTTGCTCCTTCTAAGCTTTTCTCCCAGGCTCATAGCCCCTGCCCCTTGAACAAACAGTAGCCTGTGCTGTTTGCTGCAGGTGGGGAGTGGTCCATGGTAAAGAATTTGTGTTTTCCCTCCCTATGGTAGTTTTTTGATTGGGAGACAGGTCTCTTCCATCTCTGAAATTCCTTGATGTTGTAAGATCCTGCCCTGTCCAGCTCTGCCCATACAGTGTGCACATGGAAATTGTATTTAAACAGGCTGCCCACATGGATCAGTCCATCAGCTGAGGTTTTGAGCACATTGCTTGTCAAGTTGCCCAGTTTCTTTCCTCCATTCCTCCAAAATACACCTATTGAATGCCTTCTCTGCAAGCCGATTCTCTCCCCTGCTAGCTTACATTGGCATTCCAGTGATCAATAGGTCAGTGCACACTCACTCTCATTTTTCCACTTGTCTTTGTTAGAGTCTCGTTTTGTCTCTTTCCCTCTGCTCTCTGTAGCTAGAAGTATAGATGCATCTCCAACAGCAGTTCAGAAATGCACCAGATGCATACACATATCAAATAACGGGCAAAGAAAGAAAGAGAAAGTGATATGTCTGTGGGATAAGAAGGAAGGGAAAACGAAGGCAGAGCTGGTTTGTGGCTTTCCAAGCTGCTGAGCCATAATCCTGCCATGTGTGGCTCAAGGAAGTAAATCAGGTTTAGGATTTCAGGGATTCCTTGCATTGGTTCTGGATGGTTTATGTATTCAGTTATTAAAGCTATATTTCAAACTCCTAAAATTGACTTTCAGCTCCATAACACTGCCGGAATTTCATTTGGCTTATTAGTGTGTTTTTCTGGCTGGACTAATTTAGCACAGGCCTGGTAATTCCTGGCATTTTAAACATACCCCTCTTTGCAGTTGCCTGATTTAAGTAAAGCCACATCTTATTAAATGCTGGTTAAGCAGTGCTTTGGGCTTTGGGGCCATTCCAGGTGATAGTCATTATATTTAACATTTTTAATGATTCTGAACTTGTCTTTCTCAAGATTTACCCACCCAAAAATACTTTATTAATTTTGCAGCCACCTGTCTCATGCTTCCTCACTTGCCCATTTTAAATGGCTTCCCACAGCACTGTCTTTAATTGCTACAAGTACTGTATAGGATGGGCTCACCTGCTTCTCATTAACAGCATCAGTTTGCTTTTTCCTTGTTAAACTGAATGGTAGTAACAAAATGGTGAAAGATAGAGTGTCCATCACTGTGTAGAGAGAGCGGTGGGTCATACACAACAAAGGAAAGTCTGAATCACCTGCAATATTTGATCCGGGGAAATTCTGGTTGATAGAGGGCCAACCCACAGATCTTCCTCAAATGTTTCAGTTCAATTCATTTCAGTTCCACAAACATATGTTAAACACTAGTTCTGTGCAGGGCATTGTAATAGGTATTGAGGTTAGAGTGATAAAAATGGAACAGTTCCCAACCTCAGGGAACTTATAACCTGTAAGGAAGCAAGCAGGTTGTTCCTAAGACCCAATATCTTGCATTAACAGAATATGGAAACCTTGATGGGACTAGAAGGGATGCTCTCTACTGATCATCTAGCCTAACCCTCTCAATCTATAGAAGTGGAAACAGGCCAAAGAACGTTAAGTGACTTACCTGAGGTCACATAAGTAGTGAAGAGCAGAGCTAACATTTGAATGCAGCTTCTCTGACTCTAAATCCAATGTTTTTTTCTGTGATTCCACAGTATGTCTCAGTAAGAATCACAGAATCTTAGAGGTGGAAGGAACCATAAAGTGCTTGAGTCATGTGATACTAGTAATTAATAACCAGCAGTTATGACACTTTAAGGTTTAAGAGGCTTTACATATGTTGTCTCATTTGAACCTCATAATAATCCTGTGAGGTTTATTATTTTGGGCTTTTATTTTCCACATTTTGCTGTTGAGAAAACTAAGGCTGAGAGGTGTTACATGGCCACATGGCTGAAAAATGTCTGGAGAAGGATTTGAAATAAAATCTTCTTGACTCCAAATCCTTTACTACAATCCTAGAATATAGAACGAGAGTGGGCCCTGGAGATCGTTTAGTCCAACCTTCTCATTTGGGTATGAGGAAACTAGATTTGGCGAGTTAAGCATTTTGCTCAAGGTTACAACGTTGTTGAGTTGTTTCAGTCATGTCTGACTCTTCATAACCTCTTTTTGGGGTTTCCTTGGCAAAGATACTGGGATGGTTTGCATTTCTTTCTCCAGTTCATCTTACAGATGAGGAACTGAGGCAAACAGGGTTAAGTGACTTGCCCAGGGTCACACAGCTAGTAAGTGTCTGAGGTCAGATTTGAACTGAGGAAGATGAGTCTTCCTCACGGTAGGCCTGGCACCCTATCTACTTTGTCACCTAGCTGCCCCAAGGTTACAATAGTCAGAATTCAAACCAAGTCCTTCGGACTCTAATACGAGTACTCTTTCCAATTCACCTTGCTATAGAATCTCCTGTTCTTTGTTATGCTAATAATCATACTACACGTCTACATGTGCTTTACAATACTTTAAAGTAGTACATGTGCTTTAAAACACTCTCACACCCATTATTTCATTGGCTCCTTGCTGTAATCCTTTGGGATAGGTAATGTACCTGTTATTATCCATATTTAACAGATGAGGAAAGTGACACTGAAAGATGTTAAGTGTCTGACTTGACATAACAAAGCCCATTATTAAGGGCAGCTGGAACTTTAATCAGGGTCTTACTGATTCCTCACTCAGTATTCTTTCTACTACACGCTGTCCTAATGCTGAATTAAAGTTAAAAAACTTCCATTACTAGATTTAGAAGATGTAGGAAAATGGGCTAAAGCCATAGGGATCTAGGTGTTACAGTGAGCACAGCACAGGCTATGGAGTAAGAAAGACTTGAGTATGGATTCTGCTTAGGTACTTTTTAGCTTTGTGGCAAGTCACTGGACTTTGTTTCATTTTTTGTATTGGTCAAGTCATGTCAGCAAACATTTTGCCTTACACATAGTATGCACTTAAAAATGCTTGTTAATTAAATGATTAATTGATTTGTTCAGTTTCAGTTTCCTCATCTATAAAATAAAGGGATTGCATTTGATGGCCTGTAAAGTCCCTTCTTGCTCTAAACATATGGTCCTCTAATCTTGGAGCATAAGCAATTCTTTTTTTTTTTTTTGGTCTCTTTTCCCTTTTCCTTCAAAGAACAGTGTAACAAAACATCTGGTTAATTGAGGGTTTGGTGAGTTGAGATTTTTCTCTTCTGGACATGACTGAATGAATGAATGCGTACAACAGTGGTTGCTGGATGGAGAAAACATGGCACTTTTTCTAATGGGTTCAATAAATCTTAGTGTTGTATTGGTTTGTCGAGACATGATTTCTTATAAATGTGTAGTTTTAAAGATGACTTTTTATACCTCACGTAAGCTGTGTTTGGGTGTTTCTAAACACCATAATAGAGGTGTGCACTGTGTGCAGAGTGCAGAGAGTGCAGAAGGAGGAGGAATGGATGAATTG